CCCCCGGGGCTTCGCAAAGCCTCGGGGAAGCCGGCAGCGGAGCAGCCCAGACGCCCCGCGGCTGTCCCGCTGCGGGCGTCCTCAGAGGCTTTGCTCCCCGTCTCCCTGGTCTGCTGGTCTCCAGCAAACCAGGGAGCCGCGGAGCAAACCCCGTTAGTAACTGCGGATCCGACATAAGTGGGATCCGCGTAACTCGGGGACTGCCTGTATAAGTAAAATAAATACTTTAAAATAGTGTTATTAAATAAATATATACTTAATTTAAAGGTATACCCCCAATTTTCATTTGAGCATGGTTACAAAAATGTAACCAGTAGGATTTGGTCTAAATCCTACTGAAAATAATCTTAGATAAAATTTTCAAAAGCTCTGCAGTCACTTAAGAATATAAACCCTATTGAAAGTGGGTCCAGTGCTTCTCAGTCAATAACACTGTTTTGAACACTTACCAAAGGTGCTTAAATACAAAATTAGGAGTCTGACTTTAGGCACATGGGGCTGAAAAATTTGGCTTTCACCCCTAACTAATGATGTGGTGAGAACTGATATTCTGTATCTATCCCCCATTGAAGTTTATAAACTATTACCTGGTTTTGATGTCTTTTCTTCTTTTTTGACTTCAGATTCTGAGAAAAATGTTTTAAAGATTTTAGAAGTTAAAATTACAAAATAATTTCAGTTTCTGTCCCAGTTTTGTTACTCAGCTTTTTACCATCTCTATTTTGAAATTTTCCAGTTCTGCACTGGGATAAAGTTGAAACTTGTTAAAAAAATAATCAAAGGAGAGACCTTCCTACATAATAACACACTTCCATCTCTATCCCATAGGTTCTGGAAGCAGGAGTGAGGGAGGGATGCTATAGTACCTCCTGGCTTGAAGTAGTTTCCATTATAAAAAATAGTTCCATCAGTCTGATTCACACCATTTTTTGTTTGCAAATATTTTTGTGATTCTTTACACTACATTCTGAAATCTCAAAACTATTTTCAGTATGTAAAACTATTTTCTACTCAGCTCTAAATTAAAATTCTCTTAAGGAACCGTAGGGTCTCTCATCAAACCAACTAACTTCATTTTCAGGAGAATTTATTTTCCCACACACATTAGTTCATATATTTAGAGCATTACATTTGGCATTACCTATAATTCACTTTACCCAATGTTTTTAACCAGAAATTGTTTACTCTCTTTAGGTATAAACTTATTAATTCAGATCCTCAGCAGTTATAAATCAATATAGCTACACAGAAGGCAGTGAGCAATGGTAATTTATAGCAGATGAGAATCTGCCCTATCATGCAGATGGGTGAACCAGGTCAGAGAAAGAAGGGAGGAAGAGAAAAATCAAATACCCCACCCAGAAACTAAGTGAATGAAATAACACACTATTGTAAACTCCACAATGGTGAAGAGAAATATCCTCTAATCAAAATCCAATAATTTGTGCTGATATCCCAAAGTCTGTTAATATTCCCATGGGGTAGGAAGCTGGGAAAGAACTGAGAAAGAGCCTAATTATTAATAGTGTATAGGAGTTACTAGCTAGTGAACTCTGCTTATGGAAGTGAAATGGGGGCAAGGGTTGTGGAAGCTGAAGTCACAATAAATGTATCTGCCAGATTCAAGGCTGTGGGGAGTCAGATGATTCAGAGCTATGGTTTAAGCTATGGGCACAGATGACCTTTTGTGAATGTGATCTTATTTCCACTCCCTTTGTGTATTATGCTCATCTATGATGTGTTAAGATAATTTCTTTAGGGGTAAGACTATCCACTGTGTTTGTACAGATCCTGGCAGACTCAGGGCCTGATTCTAATTTGGTCTCTGGTCATTATTGTCTTACAAATAAGTGCTAATGAATTAATGGAGAACATGGTTCAACTGCAGTGGAAGAGGAAAGAATGGAAGCAAAAGAAGGATGGAATTCTTGAGGTAGAAGAGAAATGATCTCCAAATGTTTGCATACATTCAAATTTGTTTTGGATAAACATCTGAAGTTTGGGGAAAGCTCTGAATCTTCTGAGTTGGGTCTGACTGGCTATGCATTTATTGCATTGCATGCACTCACACCACTGAAAAACTAATGCAACATTGGTATATTATGTGTAAATCTGACTGAGCAGCCCTCGGGACAGTGCTAGAGGAGGAGGAGAGGTGGACATGGCTACAAGCCACTTTTGCACTCCATCCCCAATATCTGTGGCTGGGAGATGATTCAAAGCTCAACTAGACTTTGACTCAACTTTGTGCAGCCTTAAGATCTTTTTAATAAGCAATATCAGGTAATGTCTGCCCCAAGTGCTTATTCATGACAGCCAAACTTACATATGAGCTACCTGAGTACTTTCTATACCATAAGAATCTTTGTCTAGCAGGGGAAGCTGGTTATAGGGCTTCTTATTGCTGCTGGAGTAGCATAAAGTAGCCTTATGGAGGCTGGCAGGATTCTACTTTCTACTCACTTTGCTTGAATGAAACTGCACAAATTTCCAAGCATTAGAAAATCAGGCTCTTGCCTTTCAAAAACATAATCATTATAGTTAACTTTATTTTCCCCTCAGAGATGGGTATCATATCATAAAAATCTTGTTTGTTACCACAATTATATATAATTAAATAAATTATGAACAATTGTTGTAATATCACTGTGTGGTATCTATTTGCAAATGCTGTATTTAACAGTGATCAGTATAAAATCACCTTTTTTTTTCTGATGACATGTACTGTAAATGCTCTACAAATCTTATGAGGCAGAAGAGACCTCATGATGACTACCACTGCCAATAGCATTGCTCTGATCAAATGCTCTTACTTGAACTTATAATGACAAGGAATAATGACAGAGTGCACAAAGACCATAATTCCAGAAGCTGAGCAATGCATTTGTATCTTTTAAGATAAATGGATGGATTATCTAAGGCATTTGTTCTACAATGGATAAAAGCAGCTTAATTTCTGAGAGTAAATGTGGGGTAATATATCTCTACTGGACATGAAATCAGAGCAGTGGAGGGCATTAAAAAAAAGAAGAAAGATAAATTGGGGAATACAAATCCTTTATCAGAAATGCTGTTGCCTGTTATTCTTCCTTGATAAGACTATTTTGAGGAAGAAAATCCTGAGTTTAACTATATCTAACATGCCCCATATATATCCAATCCCGATGAGTAAGTAAAGGCGACGTAAGGAATCTTTTAATCCCAGCATCTCCAGCTGATCACCAATCATTTAGCCTTCTTCCAAAACCATACAACTTGCTTATCATTCCCCCTTTGATAAAAATATGAACATTGCCTATAAATTTAAACTGGATACAAAAGAAGATAAACTTGATATAAGAGCGCATGTTCCATTTTCAAGGCTCCCTAATATGAGCTTGAATTCTTAGAAGGTACAACACAGGAGCAAACACCACAGGAATCTCTCCAGTAGTTCTTGGGAAAAATGGGAATTTTCATACTCAAGATCTACCTAGTCCTGTATCTTGTCAGCATCAGAGACTTCAGGCAAAGTATAAGAATTGCACAGTAGGTAGATGTGGGATAATTTATCTCCACCTCTAACAGAAGTCCTACCTTCATTTCTAATATTTAGAGATTGGCATAACCCCTGAAGGCTTAATAATCTTCCAACATTTTGTGTTAATTAATTATGAACATTCTGGATATTCTTGATATCTACATAAGTATCACATCCTTTTGTGAATATTTTTAAATGCTTGGTGTTTAGTGATGAGTTCCAAGGTTTGCTTACATGTTTCATATAAAAGTATAAATTTTCCCAATGTTTACTTTCACTGTATATCCCCTTGCTACCATGTTATGAAATATGAAGGACAGATGTTCCTGATCTCAGTTCTCTGTATCATTCACTATTTTATATACTTTTCTCATGCCCCCTCTTATTAATTTTCTTTCTAAGGTACACAATTTCAGCTATTTAATTTTGCCTTCACAGGAAAGTTGTTCCATCCTTCCTCACATTCTTCTCTGAACCCTAGTTAGGTCAGCACTATCTGTTATGAGATGCAGTGATGATTACTGCTTACAGTATTCTAGATGAGGCGCCACTGATCAATTTATACAAAGACATTGTTATCCATTTTATAGTATTTGTCATTCCATCCATTTTGCATCCTAACATCTTGTTAGCCTTTTTAAGTGCAGTTACACACTGGCTACATCTAGACTGGCATGATTTTCCGCACATGCTTTTAACGGAAAAGTTTTTCTGTTAAAAGCATTTGCAGAAAAGAGCATCTAGTTTGGCACGGATGCTTTTGCGGAAAAGCACTTTTTGCGGAAAAGCGTCTGTGCCAATCTAGGTGTGGTTTTGCGCAAGAAAGCCCCGATCGCCATTTTCGCCATCGGGGCTTTTTCGCGCAAAACAGTCCTGAGCTGTCTACAGTGGTCCCATTGCGCAAATACATTTGTGCAAAAGGGCTTTTTCCTGAACGGGAGCATCATAGTATTTGCGGAAGAACACTGACAATCTTACATCAGATCGTCAGTGCTCTTGCGCAAGTTCAAGTGGCCAGTGTAGAAAGCTGGGAAGTTTTTCCGCAAAAGCAACTGCTTTTGCGGAAAAACTTGCCAGTCTAGACACAGCCACTGAGTATAAGTCTTCACTAAGCTGTTCACAAAGACACACAGGTCCCTTTCTTCAACTGATATAGTTAATTTAGAATCCTGTATACTCTATGAATAGTTTACTATGGTGAATTCTAATCTCAGTACTACCACAGGTCTGCCAAGCGATCTTGGACAAGTCACTTTTCTTTAGGTCCATCTACCCAGCAGGGCTAAAGTCAAACTAAGCTATGCAACTTCAGCTATGTCAATTGCATAGCTGAAATCAAACTAGCTTAATTTGGCTTTTGACACTGTCTACACAGCAGCAAGTTGAAGGAAGAACACTCTTCCTTCAACTTTCCTTACTCCTTATAAAATGAGCACTACAGGTGTTGCAGTAAGAAGTCCTCTACCTCTCCATTTTTTTTTGAAATAATGGCTTACAGTGTAGACACACTCTTTGTTATTTTGGAATAATGTCAGTTATTCTGAAATAATGCTGCTGTGTGGACATAGCCTCTGTATGCCGGTTTCCTTATTTACTGCTGAAGAGTTCTGTGCAAGAGCCAGGCATTGCTATTGTTTTCCCTCCAATGTGAATTAGGATAAATTTCATTTACCATCATGTTGCCCATTCATGTAGCTTGTTTACATCTCTCTGAAATTCCCTAATGTACTTTCCAGTGCTGACTAACTTAAGTAACTTTCATTAGGCTATATCATTACTCATGCCCATTTCGGATCATTAATATTAATCAATAACTGCTGTAGTATAGAACCCAGAAGCACCCCACTGTGAGCCTTTTGCAATGATGAAAACTGACTGTTTACTCCTACTCTTTGCTGGCTCTGAACCAGTTTTCGATCCAGGACTATGAATTTTATAACTAACGATTAAGGAAGACATTGTGGTACATTACACAACCTGACTATCTTATTTTTACCATATATAAGATCCAGCTGCCAGATACACAGACCTAAATTTTATTCACTGGAGTAGCCTATGAAAAGAAATGAACCTGTGCACCTGTGAAACCCTTTCACGGGCATTAGA